TGTTATAGAAGGCACCTTTGAATGTACCCGGGCTACAGTCTGTGGGAGCATGCGCAGAAACCCCGGATTAGCACCGTACGTTTGATTTCTGCTTATTTACTTTGAGCCTCGAAGTCTCGCAGCTCATAGTCGGTTGTCCATCGGGATCCGATCCAGTAGAACAACTTCGTCCTTGGCAATACCAACCTCTGATTCACCAAATACGAATGCGACAGGGACTCCGAGGACGCGCAGATGAAGCACTTTTCTTGGGTCGGAAGGATACGTCAACGGACTTACTGAGCTCGGATTCTGAGTGCGTGTTTCTTGGAGGCAACATCCACATTGTTCTCTAGATTTTCGAGCGTACGGGCCAAACCTGCTTGTTTTTCTAAACGCAGTAAAGTTCTTACATTGAACGAAGCCAGTTTGAACGCAGTGAGGTCGGAGGAATGGAACATTAGGTTCCGAGTGATACGGCTCTGCTGAGGCAACTGTCGAAGAGGATAGCGGAGGAAAATGACCAATCAGGGGCAAGCACGACTGATGTTGACATGCGGCTTTTTGCTGGTAAAGTTGGACCCTGGAATTTTGTATAAATTAATTGCAAGATAGGAGAAAAGAAGGCAAAATAGTCCTGAAGTGAAAATTAGCCTTTCGCTATCAATTTTTCTATACGATAATTGAACGCAAGAGATTGAAGCTGTTGCCAGTAGCCACAGTTTCTACATTTTTTGGATTAATCAAGTAACATAGCATGAGCAGAATTGATGTTGGCCGTGCATGCTCTCGATCAGCTGTCGACACATGTTGAGTGGGTTGAGCTGCTGTGATAAAAGTACTGTTATTTAAAAAAATCAAATCAAAGGGAAAAGATTTTTCCGAAATTTCAATCTTTATTTCGCCACTCATCACTGGTGTTATTTTCGGAGCCCTTTCATGACTGTTCAGGAATTTGATATTTGAGATGCATGGCGCCACAGAGTGCAATACACACGAGTTATTTTAAATGACCCCCGACACTTCAACCTTCTTTTTCAGATCCTATCCAGGCTCACTAGGGCGCATACTATAGGTACTTTGAGACTGCTCTTGGCTCGGTCGACCGTATTATCTGTAGGACTTTTGCCTCGATCTGCTAACTATACGGCAAAAAGAGGTGCTACTCACATCTCATTTCAACGCACATTACGTGGTACTTGTTCAATCTTATCCGAGCATTTCGCCCGTCCAAAGTATTCCTCCTCGATGGCTATGGACTCTTCACCTGATTGTCCCTTGGAATCGACTGAGTATGAGCTTGTTCCACAGTTCAATCCAACCATCGGTCGTACTCAGTGGAAGCCTGTACGTACGGACTACGATTATGCACAAGAAATCGCTCTCTCTGGTTACGGGGATATGTTACACGATACTGACCGGAATCAAAAGTACGCGGAAGCTATTCGAGTTGCCATAAGACATATACAACATACTCAACCGGACATCGATTTGCGCGTGCTGGATATTGGCACAGGAACTGGACTCCTATCCATGATGGCCGCCTCTCAGGGTGCCCATTTAGTCACCGCCTGTGAAGCTTTTCGTCCGATGGCCAACTGCGCAAAACAGGTACTGCAGGAAAATCAGCTGGAAAAGTATATCAAGGTTGTTGGTAAACAGTCCACTAAGCTAACCATCCCGGATGACCTTCCACAACGCGCGAACTTACTGGTTGCAGAGTTGGTAGACACAGAACTTATTGGTGAAGCTTGTCTATCAACCTACAAGCATGCAGCTGAGTCCTTACTGACACCAGATGCCGTGTTGGTTCCGTATGGTGCAGACCTCTTCTGTCAGGTGGGTTTTTCCTTTGTGCAGTATGTGTGCAACAATGCAAGGATCACAACCGTTTCTCTCTTCACAAACGTCTCACACTTTGTGTAACAGGAGAAAAAACTTCTCTGCACGGAATCCAACCTTGCAGTTTGGAAAGCAGCTCTGTTTTCAATTGCTGTCCACTGAACAAAAGAATATAAAAGGCAAATGACAATAAAATGAGTATCAGGCGTAAGTGCATGGAAATGATATAATCAAACTGATCAAGCGTGATTATCAGCGACAAGTAATTTAATGATCTTTTTGTTTTCACTGATAGGATGTTCGAGAGGTTTAGTGTACACTCCTCTAGGTTTTAATGTTTATCCATGCTCTGGATGTGAGTTTCACCGGAAGCCAGTTATCATTTGTTCAGATGCTACAGTAGCGGCACGTGTTCCAGACCCAGCTACAGTGCTGACACCAACTGTTTTCAATGCACCAGTGGGGTTTGTGGAGGGCATAACCGATTGCCTTTGCTATAGCTAGTTTTTATGAACTTCAGTCGAATAGCTTAATGCACTCTGTTCAATCCATTGTTCCAATTTAGCGGCTCTTTTATTTAGTCCCTGTTTTTTCTGCATTTCTAGTCACCCTATCATCTCAGTGGATATTGTCTGCTGAGACCAAGACGCGTGCTCAATACGCCGTAAACATCCCAGTCTGTGGATAGTAATTACATCTTTCTCATGTCTTGGACAGGTCAGACAAAAGCTCAATCAATAAATTCCAAATGGGCAACCAAAACCGGCGCACGAAAGTGCATGGTTAGTGGTTTTAACAACTGAACTGAACTGAACTCAATCAATATCAAGAACCAGACAGAACAAAACGAGGCCGACTTTATGCAGTCTACGTGACGCATCATCCAAAATTTACCTATCCAGAATGCGGACATCTTGATAATCAAACAGAACAAACACGTTCATGCTATACAGAGCTCCGAAAGTTCACACCAGACTGATTATATATACCTCACGTCAAGTACAGGATAGTAGCTATCGTATCCCTTCAAATGGTCTGTAAAGAGGAGAGGGATGCAACTAACAATAATGATGTATAATAGCACTACCAAAACGGCATCTGAATGTTATCCTCAAATGCATAAGTGTGGTTGAGTTGTTATTAATCCAGTTAGGATCATGATATCCATTGGTTGAGCAGACCGTATGGAAGAAGGCCCCTGGGGATAAGTTTTGTTCCGCTCATCACAATAGTGCTAACTTTTGTGATATGTACCTCGTCGCCTGACGGCCCTAAGGGAGCTAGATATTTGCGAACAACAAGCAGGATTCCGACTAGGTTGCGGTTGTGTCAGTTAAATGTTCACCCTGCATGAAATCCTCGAATTATTACATCACGCATATCGTCGAACAACAGTCATAGTGTTCTTTGCCTTGAAAAGAACCTTCGATTCAATGGACCACGAAGCTGCTTCGTAAGGGAATGCCGCATAAGTATGTACACGCCATACGCACCGTCGACCAACGGTTATCGTGTTTCTTGACCTAAAAGGAGCCTTCGACTCAGTTGATCGTGAATCCCTTGTGTTCGATCCTTCGCAAAGGAATGCCGCGGAAGTACGTGAACATACCGAGTTCACTCTACTCGCATACTTTTGGAAGCGTAAGGGTCTACGGCGAGCTGGGTATGTCGTTCCTAACTAGCAGCGGTGTTCGTCAAGAGTGTTCTCTTTCGCCATTCCTTTTCAATTTCATCATAGACGAAATACTGGAGAACATAATAAGTGATCTCCGAAATGTAGGTATTGAATGGACAGTTGGATAAAAGCTGTGCAATTTAGAGTACGCTAACGGCATTGTTTGCCTGCTCGGCCATGCACAAAGAGCACTTGAGAGATTAGCAGGTTTTGTCGCTTCGTTCGGTATGTGCTTTGCACCTTCAAAGTTTAAAGTGATGCTGCAAGACTGGGTTTCGCCGAGTTATGTTCTAAAACTAGACGGTCAGGAATTATCTGAAGTTGACTGCTTCTTGTACTTAGGTAGCTGCGTGACCAACGACGGTAGCTCATCAGAGGAGATAACCGCCCTCATTTCGCAGGATTTAAATACCTGTGGCGGCTACGTGACGTTTCACTGAAGTTGAAAAGTCGTGTTTACTGCGCCACTGTACGATCAGTTTTGCTTTGCGGATGTGAGACCTTGAATTTGCGGGTAGGGGACATCCGTTGCTTAATGGTTTTCAACAGTCGATGCTTACTTTGTCTGGCCAAGGTGGGATGAAGCGAGCGGGTTAATAACTATTGCTACTATTGACACCACTCAGTGTCTCTAACCATCGATTACCCTACTCCGGAAGTCCCATCCAGGGAATCTGTCTGCTATCTCAAGCGTGAAAACTTGAAGGAACATTAGAACTCCGTTCTATTGAGGCTTTAAGTGGTTTAACACTCCAAGACTCGGGATCATGTTTTTCGGGTTTTCCCTCACACAAGTGCTTTTAAGTAAACCGTGCAACTCTAAATGCGTTGTCAAAGGAAGATGTGCGTGGCGAAATGCGCAGCTCTTTTGGATCATTTTTTCCACATATGATACGTGCAAACAAGGTGTTTGCGCCCCAAACTGCTAAGAATGCTCGTAACGACCTATTCAAGTCTGCTGCTCCTACAACTCGACGATTGTGGACTCGAACCAATCCTTCCTATGAGTCCACAGGCTAAGGTGGGTAAGTGTTTTAGGGGAATCACAACCGGAGCCTTCGGTTAGCCAAAGTCTAACCTGCAGGGCAGTGGGACGGTGTATGAAAACCGCCATCCATTAGGGACCGGTGCCAAGTGCATAGGATTATACACCCTTTGGACGGGTTCAAGCGTCCAAAGTGCCCAATACAGCTCGATGTCCAATTGAGCCGGTGACCACTGCCAACACCAAGGTGTGGGTAAGTGTGGTTCA